GTGAGCATGTGTGTGTCAGTGAGTTTGTTTGGAGTGAGCATGTGTATGTGTCAGAGAGCTTGTCTGTAGTGAGCGTGTGTATATGAATGAGTTTCTTAGGCTCATCTTCCTGTCCGCCCGCACCTCCCACGCCCCACCCTTCTGTAAGTCCCTACATTGGTTTCCTATAAGATATAGTGCTCAATTTAAATTTCTGGTTCTTGCTTTCAAATCTCTACATAATGCTGCTTCCGCCTATCTATCCTCCCTTATACACAAGTATGTCCCGTCTAGGCCCTTATGATCTGCTGAAGACTTACGTCTATCTTCTGTCCGTACTCCCACCTCTGATGCTCGCCTTCAAGATTTCTCGAGGGCTGCACTGTTCCTGTGGAACTCGCTTCTCTCCTCTGTTAGATGCTCACCCAGTCTCCACTCCTTCAAAAAAATCATTAAAAACCCACTTCTTCATAAAAGCGTATCAATTAAACTGTTAATAGCTCCTGACTGATTCTTCTTCTGCAACTGTCACTAATCTAATACTATCCTTACCTTTTTGTGTCACTTTACCCCACTCCCTCTAGCATGTAAGCTCATTGAGCAGGGCCCTCAACCCCTCTGTTCCTATGTATCCAACTTGTCTGGTTACAACTACATGTCTGTTCGTCCACCCATTGTAAAGCGCTGCGGAATTTGATGGCACTATATAAATAACATAATAATAATAACATAATAATAATAAGCAATGGACAAGCACCTTAGTCGCATCTGCTGTTAAGTAGGGTTGGATAAGCGCAATGTTTTTGAGATGGAAGCGACAGGATTTGGAGGTAGACTGAACATGAGGCTTGAAGGAGAGATCGGAGTCAAAGAGAACACCTAGACAGCGAGCCTGTGTGATGGACCTGATGGTAGCACCATTGACTTGGAGGGAGACAGACACAAGGGTAACAGCACTTGAGGGAGGAAAGACCAGAATTTCAGTTTTGGTCAAGTTTAGTTTAACCCCTTAAGGACACATGACATGTGTGACATGTCATGATTCCCTTTTATTCCAGAAGTTTAGTCCTTAAAGGGTTAAGGAAGTGGGCAGCCATCCAGTAAGAAATAGCAGAGAGGCAGTCAGACACACTAGTCAAGAGGGCAGGGCCGGCGCTACCTGTAAGGCGGACTAGGCAGCCGCCTAGGGCGCCCCTTGGGAGGGGGCGCCGCCTGGAGCGCCGCCCCCACATGCTGCAGCCGCCCAAGCGCTCTGTAGAGAGCCTCAGGCGGCTGCAGCTTTGCCCGGGCGGTGCGTCCATGAGGGCGGACCGTACCGCCCGGGCGTAGCCTGAGGAGAGGGGCTGACAGGAGGGAACCGCTCAGCGTTCAGCGCTCCCTCCTGTCACTACCTCTCTGTAGCGTGGCCGAGCCCAGTATAGTCCCAGTATAGTCCGCGGGTACAGGGATCACTCTGTGTGCACTTCCTGTTAGTCCGGCCGGGTACAGGAAACAAAAGCTACCTGTACCCGCGGACCATATTGGGCTCGCTACAACTGAGGTAGGGAGGGAGGGGGGGAAGAATAAATTGTCAGAGGAGGGGGGGAGAAGAAATTGTCAGTGGAGGG